CAACAATATAATCAAAACATTCTACAATCTTAAATGCGGAAAACCTAAATATTCGACGAATTAACATCTGGTTTATGGATTAAATGTAACGAGTTCCAAGTCAATTACAGAGAACATAATTATTGTTAAGAAAACTAGATATCATATCAGTGTAATCCAAGCACCGATTAAAAAATGCACCAGAAAGTGCATAAGGAAAAAAACATACATTTTTATCAGAGACTCTCCTTTGTCTGGCCTAATTGTGAGAATTAAGATAAACAGTGTGTGCACTGATTTAGTGCTTCTTCAAGTATGTTATAGGTAGCAACTATTTCATGTGAAATTAAAGACACAGTTGTATGGAAATGGAAGATAATGGATGACAAAGATATTATGATGGTTATGTTGGTGATGCTACATTGTTGAGTTCAGTTTAACAGTGTAAACCAAATTGATTGAAAGAGAATGAATACCTTCCCATCCAGCTGTTCTCTGGTGTATTGTATCTCTTGCTGATGAAAGAACAGAATCATTAAGAGAAACAAAATGTAATCCATTGTACTATTGACAAAAAATTGAGTTAAAAAGGAACTCACACGTTGATATCATCAGTGATATTTTCAGAGAGTGTCTGGACTCTTAAGTATAATGGATGCAATGCAAATACTGAAAGTGAGCTGCATGGCATGGCCGAGAGGAAAATAGCAAACATCAGTCTAATAAAATTCAGATGAAAATAATTATCTGAAAGAATTTACAGAAGGAAATTCATTGAGAAGTAATAACAAAAAGATATTATGGATCGAGTCAATAGGGTCAGAGCAAATGTTCATCATGCCAAATTTCCTTTGCAGGAATAATCCTAATATAATGTGAACGTGTCATCGTGAACATATTTAAAAATAGAAAATACCTCAGGACATAAATGGTAAAATCAGATGTGATAAATGAAAAACAATAAGCAACTTGTATCCATACACCCTTTAGTACCTGTCATTGCTAAATAGAGAATGGAAAAGATAAACAACAGTAAGCCAAGCAAATATTTTTATGTTTAAACTGTGCGTCCTCAAACCTAACTGTTTGCCTGTACGGAAACGAATCCCATCACATTCGGTGAACTGATGTATCATTTATTGGCAAGAGCTGAACCAAATGGAAGCCAGACTGCACTGCCCAGTCGACTAGTAACTTCAAATCAAGAAACTCCCCAACTCCTAGATCAGCACCTGATCTGATAGAGAACAAAGGAATTGCGACACCAGCACCCCTCCATGGCATTTCCTGACAACAAATTGATATATTGAGCTACTTAGTTCAAGCTTCAAATCAAGAATAAAATATTTAGAAATCGAATTCCTTTCAATGCCTTACTCGCATCAAGCTGTCTGAAAGGACAATATACTTTGGTTGACTAGTTGTAAAGTCAACAAAAAGCTCCCACTTTGGACACATTTCCATAGAAAACTTTTCGGCGTTTCCATATTCACCATACCGGGATGTAAATAGTTGTTAAGGTGCCATTTCACTCAGATACTCGCAGATACAGAGAGAACGAATAATCAAGTATCAAGCAACAACTATTTTTATACCTAAAACCATACAACCAAAAAGGATATTTAGAGGGAAGTCTTCCTTCCACATCACACATTCTGCTTGCCAAATAGATTCACCAATATAATTGAGTTTAAGTCGATCCCGAGCCTTCCATTGCCCCAGCTTCAAAGGACTACCAATCACAAAAATCTGCATAATTCGTAAAAGTGACATGATTCAAGTGAACTTAAAGAGCAACAAACACTGAATGTACAACTAGAGGTCAACAAGATAT